CCCCTCCTCCTCCTCCGGAGGGGATGGTAATGGTGCTGAGGTGGAGACGCAGTGGCTGCCGTCCAAGGGGCTCCAAGTTCCTAGAAGAGGGAGGGAGGGAGGAGAGGATCTGGTTTTGGAGGGAGCCCCACTAAAGGGGCTTCTGGGTGAAGAGACCTGGGAAGAACGGGGGCGGCACCCCCCCTCCCTGCTGCTGGGACGGTGCCTGTGTTCCGCCCACTGGTGTGGGGGCAGCCAGCCGGGAATGCTGCCCTCCGCGTGGCCCTGCCCCCCATTTCCGCCCAGGGCATCTGGCCCACACCTGGCTTCTATTAGGAAAAACGCTGCTGGCGGCCAGGGTTGGTGTGAGGATTGGCGTGAGCCAAGGGGCCAGCCCCAGGGAGAGGCCTTCTGGGAGCACCTTCTCCTGAGATCCTTCCTCACTAGAGAAGCGTGTTGTTGGGGTGGGGTGGAGGTCGGGAAAGGATGTGCTGCTTTCTGTCCAGTGGCTGTCCCCCATAGCCTGGAGGCTGGGTGGGGAGGCCTGGGAAGGCCTCCCTCCACTGTGTGTTTTGGGCCCTGCCTCTGGCGACCTGAGCTTGGAACAGGGGCTACTTGGGCGGCTCCCTCCTGTTCATACCCCCTACTTTGATTTTAGATTGCATTTATGGTCATTTATTATGTCCTTGCCCCTTGGTACACGTGACCTTCTTCCACCCACATGACAGTCCTATAAAGTTGGCCCTTTGGTCATTTCTGTCCCAGGATCACATAGCCCCTTTATTATGCCTGAGCCCTGGTGGGGATGGTTGAGGCCCTGAAGCCATGGGTATGCCAGAGAAGTAGCAGCCCGAGGCTGAAGGGGTGTCCGGGGAGTGGTAAGGCTTCAATACCCTTGTCAAGGGCAGGAGGGGCCCTGGGACAAGCCTCCTGACCCCTGGCGTAGGCAGGCAGACCTGTGCCTTCCAACTACCCCAGTGTCAGGCCTGAGGGGCCGGCATCTGGAGCCTATCACTCAGCCTGGCCGAGGAGGGACATGGGTGGATGGTGGGCATCTTACCACTGTAAAAGGTTCCCTTACCCAGGAGGGAGCCCAGGGCAGCTCCTCCAGCTGCCCTGCCCCACACAGGAAGCGTTGCCATGGTGACAGAGAGGGGGGGGGATTTGGCTGCACTGCAGCTGGAATGCTGGGTATGTGCCTGCTCCTGGTGCTCCTGTGCTGGGCAGGCACTGCCTGGCCTCAGCCCCTCCTGTTCTCTTCCTGGGGACAGGTATGGGGGAGACATGGGGAAACTGGGGAGCTTCTCCACAGGCAGGACACCCTACTGCCTATTGGGACAAAGGCCACCCCCTGAGAGAGGGAAACCCCAAGCCTGGCCTGCAGGCCCCTGATTACCACCAGCAGCTCTCCGCAGGCCTCCTTTCATAGGGCTGGGGCTTGGGGTAGTAGGATGCCTGGTCCCAGCTGCAGCCCCCTTGCTGCCCCAGGAGAATGAGGATATGGAGACAGGGCTCCTCCTCCCTGAGTCCCACTGAGGTCAGCAAATAAGAACTTGCCATTTTTGAAAATGAAAACCACTCCAGTGGTCTGGGATAGACGAGGGGAGAGGGGACCTGTGGCCACCCCTTTCCTGCCCATGGGACGTCCTGTGGCCCTGGGGCAGACTGAGCTGGATGTGTCCACAGTGGGCCTGTTGGGCTCTGCCTAAGCCCTTACCTTGTTTTCACCTCTTGGTTTGGAGACTGGACGATGGGAGTGGGTGAGCAGGACTCGCCAGCCCACACCGTGCTCCTCAACACTGCCTGGGCCTAATGGCCTAGTTCCCCAGTGTGAACTCATCCAGGGCTATTGGCTGGAAACCTGCGGTGGCCCAGGGGCAGCCAGGATCCTGGCCTTTTCTGACCTAGGCTGTGCTGCCTTCTAGCTGCGGCTTGATCTCCTTGCCTGTCCTGCTTCAGGTCCCTCTTGCACAGACAGAGAACAATAACCATGGGTCCAGCCACAGGAGGCGGGAAGCTCAAATAGCTGACAGCAGTCTTGCTGGGTGACTCGAGGCATATGGCTTCACTCTCTGGGCCTCTGGTTTCTCCATGTGTGAAATAGGAAGGTGGGGTAACGGGCCAAGGTGGATTCCATCCCCCGCCTGTGCCTCTGAATGAAAAAATTCTCCATCGCTCCCCACGGGCCTTGCAGACAAGCATCACCTCTCCCTTGCCTGTCCCGCCATCTATGCTGGGCTCTGCTTTCCCAGGCCCCCCATTCACGCGGCCTGACTCACACCTGCTGATCCTTTATGTTTTGACTTAAACGCTACCTTAAACCTACTTCTCTCAATTATACTTTTATTGTACCCTGTTATCATGCTTTAAAAAAGTAAACATTAGATACACGCCAGACACAGTCATCCTCCAGAGTAGGTCCCATTGTGGTGCTCTTTATACAAATAAGGAAACCGAGGCACAGAGATGTTGAGTAACACATCATGGGATGAGGCCCTCAGTGGCAGGGCAGGGTTTTCACCCAGGCAGCCTGACTCCAAAGCTTGTGCCCTTACCCTCCACTTTACCCCTTCGTGACACTTGGTGACATAGTTATTTCTTTGCGTATTTGGTTCTCATCTGCCTCCCGACTTGTATATTCTATGAGTTTAGGGACCTTTTCTGTTTTGTCCACTGTGTGCCCAGTGCCTAGCATAGTGTGCAGCTTAGATATTCATATCATGCAAGAACAAATGAATGAGCAGCCCTGCTTCACCCAAGCACGTGACCCTCCATCTGAGGTCTGTCTGGCCCCACTGCCGGCTGCTAGCACAGTGCCTGACCCTAGGAGGCCTCACATGTCTGCTGAATGAATGAATGAATGAATGGTGCACAGATGCTTTGTGAGTCATCTGTGTTGCTGCTTGCGCTGGGTATTTGCACACTGATGAGAGGGCGAGAGCCCATGTGACACTTCTGATGGACACGAGGGGCGGGGGTTGGGGACAGGCCTGACCTTCACCCTGACCCCACAGCCCCTTTTGCGTGGAGAGAGGGGTATGGGTCCCTGGTTCTCAGGCTCTAGCCCTGACTTCCTGTGCCGCTGGTGGCTGGGTGGGAAGTGAGCAGTGAGAAAAGCCCCTTGAACGACAGGAGCTGAGCCATTTCCGATGGTCTCCCACGCTGGGGTCAGTCTTTTCAGGCTGGGGAGGGGGCGCTGGGCCAGCTCCTCACAGGCCGCCTCCCTCCCTCATTCATTCCCAAGGAGATCGTGGGAAGCTTGGAGGAAGCTGGCCACAGTTTGGGGTGAGCTATTTTTGGTAACAGGGTCTTTTGTCTCAGGCTCCAGAGGCCAAGGTGACTGGGAGGGAGCTGTTTGCATTTCCTCTGGCCCCCTCCGCTCCTCCCTGCCTGGGCCCAGGGGACAGGGCTGCCTGTGGTGTGAACTCAGCCTCTCCTCCCCAGGGCCCAGGAAGCCTTCCTGCTGGCAGCTCCAGCACCATGGGAGGGTGAAGAGGAGCACTTCTCTGCCCTCTCCAGGGATGCTCCCCAGTGCTTGGCACCAGGCCCTCTCCCCAGCCCCCTGACTGCTCAGGAGGCAGCACTAATTCTAGTAATCCCTTAATTTGCACGGCGCTTTGCTGCAGGCCTGTCCCTCTCACATGTAGTCTCAGTTGATCCTTGCGACAGCCCTGGGGAGTAGGCAACCCTGTCAACATGAGCCCCACGCACAAGCTAGAAAAATGAAGTTCTGCGAGTGTACGGAGGCCCCCAGAGCCCGGAGATGATGGCCGGCAGTCTGCACGGGGAAGGATGCACTGCCGCCCTGAGTCGCTTTAGCAAGGGGGGCTCAGTGGTGAGCAAGGCAGTCCCACATTCCCTTAGGAAGAGGGAGACTGAACCTAAGATGGGTGGCTGGGTCGGCCCTCTGGGTACAGCACTGCCCTCAGCCGAGGTCCATCTTGTAGTGATATGAGGCCTTCCCTGTCCAGCTAGTCCCCAGGGGCCCTGACCTTCAGCTCCTGCCCTCTGGGGCTCTCAGGTGGATGGTCCTAGGGTGGCTTAGCTGTGTCTCCTGCCTCCTACAGAGCACACAGGCCCATGAGAACAGCAAGGATGGCCGGATGGCATGGACAGGAACCCAGGAGCACCTTGTGTCCACCGGCTTCAACCAGGTAAGGCTCCTCTCGGGTGAGCAGGGACGAGCACCAAGACAGCAGGATGAGGCCCACTGGGAGGTGGGGGCCGCCAGCTAGCTCCAGGCCTGTCCATATACGGCCCTGAGTATAGCTGGGTCTCAGAGCCCCAGGGGACCAACAGTGCTAAAAACTGGCGGATTCCATTTGCAATAGCTAAGTCTGACCCTGAGAACCATGGCAGCCCCCCCAGGGACCAGAGTCCATGGAGGGAACCGCCCCTTGTCCCTTGTCACCTAAGGGTTCTTAAAGGGGCAGGACATGAAAACCCAGACTCTCCCTCCCTGGCATGATTCTTCCCCACACACTGCCTTCTGAGCTCTTTTCTGGGGCCAGTGCCCTCGTGCAGGCTGTGTCCTGGGCACTAGGTTTCTGGGGAGCTCCAGGAGCTGACAGACAGCCCTTCTGAGCACCCCTCTGTCCCTCTTCACAGATGCGTGAGCATGAAGTGAAGCTATGGGACATCAGACACTTCTGCAGCGCCCTCACTTCCCTCACGCTGGACACCTCACCTGGGTAGGAGCGACCAGCATGTTGGGCTGGGCTGGGGGTGGGAGGGGCGAGGCCCAAACGATGTCTCAAGTGCAGATCTGTGAATGGGCGCCACTGCTGAGGGCCCCTGATGCACCATTGGGGGCCACCTGCAGAATGCAGGGGCCAAATCCAGCCAGAAGGGCTTCACCTGGCTCAGATCCTGTCAGAGAGGTGGCCCATCACCGGAGCAGTCGGAGGTACCTGAGCTGGGAAGACCTGGCCCTGCCCAAGGAGCCCTGTGGAGCTTCACCAGCAGGGGGTGGTGAGGCAGCCCCACGTGGGCAGAGAAGCCCAACTGACCCATCCTGTGTGCCCCCCTTGGTCATGGGTCAGGCTGCTGGCTTGGGGACTCAGGCTGGTGTATTTTGGCATTTGGGGAGGGGACTGTGACCCGGCAGACACATGGGTGGCCAGCGCAAGAATGCATTTCCTTTTGCCATGGGCTTTTTGGTGGGGCTGAGGAGACCTGAGGCTATGTTTAGCAAGGTGGACTCGCCGTGGATTGTGGGGTGACGTGAGAAAAGATGGGCTGGCAGGTTTGGGGGCACAGAGGGATGCAGGGCTTGAACTCATGGGTTCTATGAGGCTTCCTCAGCCCTGGTCACACACCTGTCCCTGCTTATGCTTAGGGTGTGTGTGCGCGAATGTACCTCATCCTTACATCATCCTGAGAAGTGTATGCAGGAATTTGTGGTAGTGCCCGTGTGGGTCTGGACTGAGTCGGCTCTGTGCAGGGATGGCCCAGGCTCACTGCGACTCAGGACCCAGGAGGCCCATAGCGAGTGCTGAGGAGTGACCTATCCCTTTAGTCCACATGGCCCCCATATCACAGCTGAGAAAAGAGGCTCAGGAGGGTGGATGGGATAGGAGGAAGCGGGGACCTGGCCCTGTTCCAAAGCCTCGTCCCTGCTCAGCTGTGACTCTCAGAGGGGCTTGCTGAGACCCCCACCACCACCAGGCAGGGGCCTGCAAAGGTCAGAGCAAAGAGAGGGTTTTGGTCTTTGGGTATCCTTCCAGCTACTTCCGCTTCTGTTTCACAGCTGGGGAAACTGATTCAAAGGGTGCTGTGACCTGTCTAGGCACCGGGAGCAGCAAGCAAGGGCTGTGTCTGGGTGTGGGAAAGGCTTAGGGCCATAAAAGCTCCTGCCAGGGCATCCCCCGGCTGAGCACCCAGAGAAGGGGTAAAAGTCAGGGTGGCAGTGACCCTCGGCGCTCCCCTCCTCTCTCACAGCCAGGGAGAGGCTGGGGAGCTGGTGAGGTCCATTTTGCAGATGAGGAAGGTGAGGCTGAGTGAGCGCCAGTGCCTTCCTTGGAACCACACAGTGAGTGTCAGGCTTCTGCCATTCTGAGCCCTGAAGGTTCAGGGGAGTCACTAGGACAGCCCTCTGTGCTAGAGGCATCAGTTTCTGGGCCTCCTGATTCCATGTCCAGCAGCCCTTCCCCAGGCCCAGATGCTATGCTGGTATCTCATCCTCTGTACCTCCCCAGGCCAGACAACCTCTACCCTTCAGGGCCTGCAGCAGAGGGAGGGAGCTGGTCCAGCCTGGCAAAAGGCACCTGGCACTGGCCATCAAGTGCTCCTCCACCCACCACTTCCTGCCTTTCAGGCTCTGCCCCTGGCCTGTGATGGGTTCCCCCTTCCCCTGTAGAGCAGCTCCCCTGCCCCACTGAGCCCCAGCATGGCCCCTGGAGGAGTTAAAGATGCCCAGACCCCACGGTGCCACTGGCCAAGGCTGACCCTGTAATTACAAGCAGTTAAGAATAGCCTCTTAGGGCCAGTGAGGCCTGGAATTTCTCAAATCACTCCCAGATGGGCCAACTAGGCCAGTGTCCCGCCCCCTTCATCCCCCAATCCTGGCCCCTGCCCCACCACTGGGTCCACACCCTTGGCAGAGGAGTGGGGGCTCTCCAGCCCTCCACAAAGCTGGTAGATGTCAGGGACACATACCAGCCTCCAGGCTGGCCTGAGAGGTGGTGGGTCCCCTGCCCCCTAGGCTCCCGCTGGAAGCCAGAACCCCCACTGGTCCCTTGGAGTGCGGGGGCTGCTGAATGAACTGGACTAAAGATGGAAAGCGTACGGGTATCAATTGGGGGCATGGCCATGGGCCTCCACTGCACCCCCTCTGTTTTACAGATTTTTCATCTCAATTTAGGCAGAACAGTGTGTACTCTTATAAGAGCTAGAGGGAGCCAGGGGTCAGGCACATGCCCCTCCTGGCCTCTCCCAGGGAGAACCCAGGGCCCCACCCTCCCAGGGGCGTCCCTCTCGGCCCCCACCTATGCTGTCTTCTCTCACCCCTGTCATTTGTGGAGTGCACCTCACTAAGAGGAGATGTGCCATGGTGAGAAGAGCAGGGCATCGGGGTTCTCTGTGTAAAGCCAGGCTCAGGCAGCAGGTCCACAGGTGGCTCCTCCGTACTTCTTGGGTGCCAGACCCTGTGCTCAGTGCAGGGTAGAGGTGGAAGGGGTGTACTGGCAGGGCCTGGTGCTGAAAATCAGCTTGTGCTCCATCCAGGAGATGTAGAAACACCACCTGTTTCAGGTGCGGTGCCTCTGGACTAGGTGGATGGTCACCTGTATTGGCCCTGGGCCACAGGCAGGTAGGGATTTTTCTCCCCATGTTACTGAAAGCAACTGAGGCCAGACAAGTGGGTCCTCTATTGAGGTCACTCCAGCTGCAAACCAGTGCACGGTGGAAGCTGGGATTGCATTGGTTTCTTCACACCGAGGTGTCCACCTCTGCACAAACCCTCAACCCAATGCCCAGCCATCGGCCAGAGAGAGACATGGGTCCCACACCTAGCGTGTTCCCTGGAAATCAGGAGCCCTCTCTCTGCCTGGGTAGCTTCTGCTGCTTGCAGCCCCACCCCTTTCCTGGAGACCCAAGCCCTCCCCTCATGGCTGGCAACCCTCTCTTGGGCCGGGGAGCGAGTGTTGGGTGTTGGGACCCATCCCTGCCTGCTGTGAGCAAGCTACTGTCTCACCTCTCCCAGTCTTCGAGTCTCCCTGTAGAGAGATTGTTGGGCATGAAATGGGAACATGTGTAAGCCCGCATGGCACAGGGCCTGTGGCAACGAGGACCCAACAGTGTGGGCTGGCATTTCCCCACATCCGTCCCTGGTCCTGGCCGAGCCATTGGGATTGCTCTGGGAATGAGCTGTATCTTGGCTTGGTCCCCCAGCTTGCCCCTGGCCCTACCTTCATCTCTCAGCCCCTGATCTGATGGGACACCCCAACTGCCTTTTCTGGGAGGGCTGGTATAAACGTCCAGCCCCTTTCGTTAGGTCCTGCCTCCCACCCCACCCCCTGCCAGCCCACAAGGCCAGGTTTGGCTTTGCAGCAAAAACATTTATTCAGCAGCCACCGTGTTCAACAGCAGCCCACAGGCCCACAATGGCCCCTTTGACGGGGCCGCTGAGGGGGAGGGCAGGCCTCGTGTAGCCGCTCCCGTAATGGGACCCAGGCCTACAGGAAATCCACCTGGGCCACCGCCACTGCCTCAGGAAGATGGGGCCCCACCCAGGCCCACTGCCACTACCCTCTGCCCCCACGACCCACCGCCCACCTCCTCCCCTCTTATGCCAGAGCCCTCAGCAGCCACTAATTGAATCCAGAGCCTCGCGTGGCCAGGCCTGACTCGGCGCTGACATCAATGCCCCAAGCCGCAGGGCCTGCTCCCCAGGCCTGGCTGGGCTACCACCTTCCTGCCAGGGTGAGGCTAAGGGCCAGGGGCCGTGACCCACAGAGGGACACAGGCAAGCTTGCTCCAGCCTCTGCAGGACCTCTCTGCAGCCCCAGGGCTCACCTCCTCTACCATCCAAAATGTACTAGGAAAAGGTGTTCTATATCTGTCACTGTCCCCAAGCTCTCAGCACCATCCCTGGCCTGTTCCTAGGCCTGCAGCCTTCCTGGAAAATACTCCTCCCACTTCTGGGTTTTAGAAAACCAAGCACATCCCAACTTGTAAACGGGCATCGCAAGGCCACCAGCAAGAGTCCATAAGCAAGACTCAGACCTCCGGGCCTATCCCTCATCTGCCTGTCCCTAACAGCCTGGCATGGCCCCTCCCCACCCACCAGAGGACTTCTGCCATTCAGGATCTGTGCTGCCCTTTACTAAGGCCCCTTCTCTGTAGCTGGAGCAGGAGCCCATGCAGAGGTGCAATGGGATGGCACAGAGGATGGGCCCGTGTGTGCCACCTGGCCCAGCGCCATCCACGAGGGCCTGACAGGACACAGGTTGAGGTACTCCCTCCACAGAGGAAGGCAGGCATGGACTGCCTGTCAGACCCATCCCTGAGGAGGGACCCGTAGGGACCTTCTTGGCCCCCATCTGCCATGAGCCTCTCAGAGGAGCACTGCAGCTCCTGCTGGTAGGCGAGTGGGCCTGAGTACTGTAAGGCTGCCCTCTTGTTCTTCCCGGAGGTTGGAAGCTGTCCAGTTTCTGTCCCTGTTCCCGCCTGGGTCCCAGTCTTACCGGGATGCTGGACTGGGCACCTCAGTGGAGGCTGGGTGGATACAGCCCAGGGCAGGCCTCCTGGGAAGGCTGCCCTTCCTGCCATGGCCCTCAGCAGTAGCACACCCAAGCCCAGGGGGTGCTGGCCAGGGCCTGGTACCCACTGGGGAGAGGGGTCCTGACCCCCCGTTTCCCCACAGAGAAGGCTTTCCCTTCACAACCACTCTGCACCCCCACCCTCCTTTCACCCAACCCAGGTGTGCTGGGGGTATACCAAAAAAAACCACTCATTTTATTTTATCTTTTATTTTTCTTACAAAAGGCCTTCATATCATCATTTGTCTTACAAAAACCAAAGTCCTTGTCTCTGAGTTTAAAAAACATTTTCCCAGAATAAATGGGAAAGAATCTCTTATAAATATATTTTTAAAAACAAAAGCAAAACTTGTTCCTAAAGCGTCTTTCTTTCCAGTTTCTTTTGTTGCTTCACTCCCTGGGGCCAAGGCTGGGCCACACACCCATCCCCACCCCTCTTCTCCTTCTGCTGCCTTTCTGGGGCTCCCTTCACTGGCCCCCAGTCTCCTTGAGGTGGGGGCCTGGCAGCCCTGGGCCTGTGTTACCAGCACACGGCAGAGCCCGCCCCTCCCGAGGTTGCACGTTGCAGAGGATGGGGCACACCATCCTCAGAGGCACTCGGGCCAGGGGGACCTTAGAGGTCTTCACCTGGGTCCCAGCATCTTAGATGAGGATACCAAGGTCCAGAGGGGCAGGGACTTGCTGCAGTCACACAGCCCCTGCCCTGACGTGTCCTCGGCATACGGATCCGGGAACTTCTTGGTCTGGCAGCAGGCGGGCGCTGGCCAGCCCCATGGTCCATCACTCCCAGCTTAGATGTAGGGCTTAGTAGAGAGGGCTCCCTGGGGGCCAGGCCCTGGGTAGCCCATGAGTGGCATCTCATACTCAGGCCCTCCTGGCAGGACCTCTCCACCACCCTCAGTTGCCTTGGGGCCTGGCTCTAAGGGGGCCTTCACTCCTTCCAGCTCCAGGGGCCCGGCCCCTGGCCCTACCTGCCCTTTGCCCTGAGCCACAGCCGCTGCGGCCCGCCCCCGCCGCACACAGTAGGCCGCCCCCACGGCAGCCAGTGCGGCCAAAAGCACAGCAGCCAGGGCAGGCGCAATGAGGAGCGGCAGGTTGCCCTCTCGGGCCTGTGTGACCGGGGCATGGTTGGAGCGGACAGCTGGCGGTGTGCGGGCCTCCCCACAGGCCTCCTCACCCTCGGGCACCCGCCCAGCCCCCAGGGGCCTGACGCAGATGGAGTAGGTGGCATTCGGCCGCAGTTGGGTGACTGTGTACTCGGCGAGTGAGGCAGGTAGCCGCAGGGTCACCGGCCGCTTGTCAGGGCCAGACAAGTTGCGGTAGGTGAGGCGGAGGCTCCTGACCTGCACGGAGCTTCCTTGCAGGTAGCGCTGTAGCCCCACTCTCAGGGAAGTGGGGCTCACAGGCTCGATACCAAGGGGTGGGGGCCCAGGCGGCCTAAGTGTCGCCAGGGCGGGGGTGGGTCGTGGCCCCAGCCTCACCAGGCTCTCACAGTACAGGCCTGTGAAGCCTTCAGGGCACAGGCACTCTAGGTGGCCCCGAGCCCCCAGATTGCAGGTACCCCCATTGAGGCAGATGGACGCCGGGCAGTCCTGGGGCCGGGAGTCAGGCCCCACAGTGGGCAGGGTGGCAGGTGGCAGGCTGGGAGCTTCGGCAGCAGGCTCTGTGGGGTTGGGCCTGGTGGGGGCTGGACTGGAAGGCGAGGATGTGGGCTCCCACGCCGAGGGCCTTGTGGTGGGCACCATGGCCGTGGTGGTGGTAGCCGGGCAGCCGAAGTCGGCATAGTCAAGTTCCAGGAGCAGTTGGCCGGCGTTCTTGGGGGGGAAGTGGCAGCGTGTCTCATCTGAGCTCTTCAGCTCCACGCCGCTCTCTCGAACCCAAGGGCCGAACCAACTCAGGGGGCACACGCAGTTGAAGGGGTTGCGGGCTGCAGCCAGAGACCGCAGATGGGGGAAGAGGCCCGAGAGCTCGTGTGGCAGGGCCTGCAGGCTCAGGTTGCTCAAGTCCAGCTCCTGAAGGGCTGCCAGGCCGGCCAGGGCCTCGGGCCGCAGCTGGGCGATGCGCGTGTTGCCAGCTAGCCGCAGCCGCGTCAAGCTCCGTAGGCCCCGGATGGCAGGCGGCACGCGCTCCAGCTGGTTGTCGGACACGTCTAATTCGTGGAGGTTGCGCAGGCGGCCAAAGAGCCCCTCATCCAGCTGCCGAAGCCCCAGGCCGGCCAGCCGCAGCGCCTCCACATTGGCGGTGTCCAGGGCACCGGGCTCCAGGGCCAGGAGGCTGTTGTGGCTGAGGTCCAACAGCAGCAGGCGAGGCAGGTGCAGCGGGGACAGTGCCCGCAGCTCATTGTCCTGCAGCTTGAGCTCCAGGAGGTGGCCCAGCACGTCAAAGGCGCCAGGCTGGATGTGGTGGATGCGGTTCTTGCCCAGATAGAGGCGCTCCAGGCGCCGCAGGCCACGGAAGGTCTCATTGGTGATCTCGCGCAGCCTGTTGGTGGACAGGTCCAGGTTGCTGAGGTTAGCCAGTGGCTGGAAGACCCCACCGGGCAGGCTGGTGATCTGGTTCTGCGACAGGTCCAGGAGCTGCAGACCTGGCAGGCTGGCAAAGGTGCCCGCGTCAAGCGTGGTGATGCCGTTCCCGAAGACGTACAGGTCCGCCGTGTCAGGCGGCACGTCGCGGGGCACCGTGGTCCCCTGGCGTGCGTTGCAGAAGACTCTTTGTGGCCGGTCACACATACAGCCGGATGGGCAACCCTGCACCCCAGGTCCTGGGGCCAACAGCAGCAGCAGCAGCAGCAGCAGCAGGGGTGGAGGGACCCTGGAGCGCATCTTTTGGTCCCTGGGAGCAGAGAGGAAAGACAAAAGACCGTGATTTGGAGGCCCAGGAGATAGCCATGCCAGGAACAACTGAGAAGGGAATTCCCAGCCCCCTTCACCACTCCCTGCCTCAAATCCAAGAGCACACAGTAGTTATGAGTCAGGTCTCCAGTGCCCCGGCCCTGTTCTGTCCCAGCCCTATCACTCCCTTGCTATGTGACTTTAAGTAGTCACATGACCTCGTGATGATATCAGTTGATACTTCCTGTGCTGTCACTAGGGTTCAGTGGGCTGATGCATGCAGAGGGGGGCCTAGCCCCAAAACACTCAGTGACCACAAAGGACACCTCTTTAACCCCAGCTCTCCCGCCTCTGTGGCTCAGAGAACATGTGGTCAAAAAGCATCAGTCTGTGTGCCCTTCCCCCAAGCCACCAATCCCCAAATCTTTGTTGAGGTAGACAAGGAAGCAGGGAAAATGGTGGCTCCTGGAACAGCAGCCCCTCCTCCAGTGTCTGGGAGAGACCGGTGGGCAGTCGGCCGAGTGCGTAAGCAGAGAAGCTGGCTGCCCCAGGCCGCCGGCCCCTGCCTCCACGCTCTGTGTCCTCCAAGTGAGGAGAGACCGCAGCGGGAAGACTTCACATGGAAACTATGGGATTGGTGTTTTTCCACTTGTGAAGTCAGACCTGCCCAGGATGGGAGCTGTGTGGTGGCCAGGATGTGGCCAGCAGTAAAGTCCCTGGGAGGGAGCAGAGGAAGGCTGGAGCCACTGGCATATGTCCCCCTGATCTGCACATCCCCCCAAGGTGCAATGATAGAACTAGAAGTGAGGGGGACCCAGCCTCCCTGGGCTGACCCAGGGCTCAAGCTAGGGGACACTGGTTGCATGGTAGCCCCAGAGGCAGTGCCAGGCCTGGAGACGCTCCCTAGATTCCTTCATGTACCATTTCTTGGGCTCCATTCTGGGCCAGGCACTGAGAAAAGGTGCCAGTGCAACTGAGCATTCACAGCCACATCTTACAGTCCCCCGAAGCAGCCATTCCAGGTGGAAACTATTCTCATCACTCCCAGATGACATAAGAAAGGGGGGCTCCTGGAGGTGCAGTGACTTGCTGCTGTTGCACTGCCGGGAAATCTGAGCCGGAGCCCAGGTCCTTAAGCAGGTCCAGGTGCAGCTGGGCCTGCCGCCTGTGCTGGACCTGCCCTCTTGATGCTAGGGGCCCAGTCTCGCCAGGGAGGGGGTGGCTTCCCCTTGCTCCAGACTCCAGCTCGTAACTGGACCTGCCCAAGACAGGATGGGGCCACAGCATGGGCCTCCCTTTTGCTCTGCTCCTGGGGGAAACCCCAGGGCCACCCCCAGCAGCAGTCCCCATGCTCTCAGCCCCTACAGTCCCAAAGAGGCCAGTACCCCTCCCTTCCTGGCGCCTCCTGCTCACACAAGGGCCTTTTGTCCTGGGGCTCAGCCTCCCCTTCCCCCATGCCAGCCAGCTGTCAGGCTGTGGCAGGTAACATAGCCCCCCCATTCAGGGTGCGTTCTGCCCCGCTGCCACCCGTGGGGCTGCCTCTCCACCGGGGAAATGGGTTGCTGGAATTCACGTGAGGTAGAGGGGCAGGTGGTCCCAGGGTAGATTAGATAAGTCACTTGGGAGGCCACTGTGGTCTTGGGCCAGTTCTAGGTGAAGGCCTGCCACCCAGTTTGGACCTGTCTACATACATGCTGCCCATCTGCAGAGTCCCCTCTGCTGGGGAAGTGGGGCCGTCGGCCTCTGCCCCTCACTAGTTAACACTGATGACCGCCCTTCGGAGGCTAGCCAGGGAGGCCTTCCCTGACCCCCAGCTGGCCTCCTCCCCTGCTCTCTAGGGTCCTGGCTGCCTCGTGCACCCCCTGGCCCTGCCGGCACTGTCCCAGTGGGGCTCTGTGCACCCCGCCCGGCCCCCTCCCCTGCATGGACCTGCTCCATCCTCTGACTCAGAAGGCAGTGGGTGCGGTCTGGCCTCCAGATGTGGGCTATGAGTGCCCCCCACCCCCCACATTCATGTGGGAGGTGAGCCACCTCCCCCTGAATCAGCCCTCCTGGTGGGGCAGGCGGAGGGAGGGGGGGTCAGGAAAGGAGCAGCCAGGCTCAGGGTGGGAGGGAACCCTACACGTGGCCTGCTTGGCCACCCCTGTGACTTTGGCTCCCCCTGGGCCTCATATAAGGTCATGGTTAAGAGCTCACACTCCAGTCAGGCAGCCCTGGGCCAAGGGCGTCAGAGCTATGAGGTACAAACAGTGGCTTTCTCTCAGCGCCTAGGTTTCTTCATCTGTCCCCTCTGGGTGATTCAAAGTTGACACCTCCCAGGATTGGGGCACTGCTGGGGACACTTCCCCGCTCTGCATTTAGGAGGGGGACCAGCATGGGCCCTAGGCTTTGCTCCCCAGTCTCTCGGCATCACAGGGGAGGGAGGTAGTGACTGCTGTGGGTCTGTCCGGCCCCAGAGTGGCAATCGGACTGAGTGGCTGGGGAGCGGCAGCTGCATCAGAAAAAGAGCAACTGGCATCCTCGGCTGGGGAGACCCCAGCAGGCAGCAGCCAACCTGCTTCCCACCCCCTTGACCCAGAGGGCCAAAACTGACCATAGAGGGGTGGACAGGGGCAGGCAGCAGGTGACAGGAGACAGAGGCCTCGATTCAAGCCCAAGTTCTGCCCCTAGCTTCCCAGGTCCCTTCCTACCTGCGGTCTCAGTTTCTCAGCAGCCCTGCCTCACCCTCCACAGTTGATCTGAGCACCCAAGGCTGGAGTTTTTGTGTCCTGTTTTCAAATGGGGAAAGTTATTCTAACAAGTTCTAGGAGTGATTCCGCCTACCTGGAAGTATGCTGGTGTATGTGTGTGCGCGTGCACATGCATATTGGGGAGGGGGTGTCTTGTGTGGAGCGGGCCTGTCACGGCTGCCCTGGCCTAGCCAGTTACAATTTCAGCAGCTTTGAAGGACCCGGGCCTGGGCTTTGATATCTGATCCGCTGACCCTAGGCAGGGAGGTGGGACCTTTCCCTCTGCAAAGGGAGAGATCTGGAGGCAGCCCTGGCATTTGGGGGGTAGGGGCAGGAGGGTCCAGGGCCTCCATCCTCCACCTGGACTCAACACAGCCTGACCTTAGCCTGGCCCCGCCGTGGTGTGGTAGAAAGAGATGGGAGCCAGAGGCCCAGGGACAGTTACTGGGATGGGACAGTTTAGGGGACTGCCTGCGTTTGCAGCCTGGCTCCATGCCAGCCTGGTCATGGGCCTTTACCTCAGTTCCCATCTGTGAAGTGGGGGTGCTGGTAATAGTGCCTGATTCTCAGGGATGTTTAGTTTGTACTTGGAGCGCATTCTAAGTGGTCAGTCAACATTCACTACTGAGGGTGTTATCCATAAAACCCGAGCCCTGCCTTCCACACACACAGGGGAGGACACCATGGTGTGGAATTCAAGGTCCCTTTTCAGCACAGATAGGAAGTCCCCTGGGCCCAGGGCTGTCCCCCACACTCTACCCCTGAGTATGGGCATGGGACAGCAACCTGATGGAGGGTGCCTTTAGTTTTGGAGGGGGTTGGGGGGCTGAGCTGTCCTTTGGCCAGCCCCCTTCAGCATATGACCTCGGGGTGGGGAGAGAGCAGAGGGAGGGCTCTATGAGTAAGGACATCCATCATCTCAACTCTAAGGGGGACCAGAGTGCCCCCACCCACCCCGAAGTGTGGATCACACCTGGAAGCACCTGCTCACACCCAGGCCCTGGGTCAGGCAGGGACTGGTGAGTGGGTGGAACCCTGGGCATTTGGGTGACCACATCAGACCTGAGGCTGGAGCGCCTCACTACTGGGGAAGGACGCGTGCTTGGCCAGCAGGGGATGGGTTCATACAGACAGGCCAGCATACCCCACTCCTGTGCCCGACACTGCAGATTGGGTACAGTGATTGGGTACCCCGGGGCTGACTCCAAGGCCCTCCCAGTGCTGGCCCGCCTGGGCTAAGCACTGCCGGCCAGGCCTGGCAGCAGCCCAGCCCAGGAGTTTGCCAACCCCCCAGGCAGGCGGGACTGTGCCGGCAGCCAGGACGGCTGGCTCCGGTTTCGCTGACGTGTCTGAGGAGGCTCAGGGCCCAGGCCGGGTCCGCCCGTCTCCCCATCCCTGCGACACAGCAGCTCCTGGCCCAGCAAGGCAGAGAGGTTAGGGTCTCCCTCTGGGGCCCTCTCGGAAGGGGCCAAGAGAGCAGAGCCTCTGGTTCCTTGGAAATGGCCCCCTCTCCAGGTGGGGGCCAGAGCCCTGCTCTGTGATTAAGCTGGGGGGTCCCCACCGGTCTCCATGCCTCTGCCTTTCTTACTCCATTCACCACCCCAGCCATCTCTGCTCATTCTACAGCTAAGGCCCTCATCCTCGATTTGTGACCTCATCTAATTCCCTTCCCTTTCCGGGCTTCCATCTCCCACCTGGAACCCCAGGGGCTTTTCAACCCCAGCTGCACGACAGAATCACCCCAGAAGCTTTGGAAAGTTCCCGATGCCTGGGTCCCACCCCCGGGTCCAACTAAATAAGAATGTTTGGGGTGAGGCCGAGCAGAGCTGTGTTTTGGAAAAGCTTTTTGGGTGAGTCCCCAGTCCAGCCAGGGCTCAGACCCTGGGACAGAAGGTTGCTAAGGGGACAGTCTGGACATCAGTTTGTCTCCCAGTCCGGGGAAGATCCCTGAGCAGGTGTGGCCAGCTATTGGCACTGGCAGAAGGGCAGGACCTGAGCCCTCCGCCCTCCTCCCCCACTCCTCCATGCAGGTGCTGTCAGGCCTGGGTGGGGACCTTCTGTCGCACCGTGGGTGACTTGGCAGCCACCAGACCTGTCAGCCCAAGGCAGGAAGACCAGTGACTAAGGCCAGTCGGAGTCTCTAGTGGGCCCTCTGGGCAGTGGGATGTGGCATCTCAAGTCAGGAGAGGGCCACTCTGTTGGGAGAGGCCACCTGCTGCTACGTGGTGGCTATGGCCCAACTAGAAATGGGCCAGCCCAGATGCCACTGCCGGCACGTGCAGGAGTAATGCCACCAGGGCAGGGCTCAGACACAGGGCCTCCTCACTGTCCTGTCCCCACCCAGGGCCAAGCACCCATTAAGTAAGGTCCTAACCCTGCAATTAACCCTGAATGTGCCAGAGGAAGGTCTTAGTCACCAAAAAAGGGCACCATCCCCCAGCCATCTGGTCCCAGGCTGTCTGGGGCCTAAACAGGGTCTGAGAAGGAAGTGGCCCCAGAGGAGGTCTTGCTCTTCTCATGCTCACCATGCCCAAGGATCTCGGTCACCCTGTGTCAGAAGTGGCCCTTCCTGGAGTCTGAGCTGATCACTGGGCAGGTGGAATTGATTTGATATGGGGAACCATGACCCTGCCCACCCCCACCCCCACCCCCATGCCTCTCACTTCTCACTGCTGTCTATCCAGGCCCAGG